CACAATGCCTGCTTAGTATATAGAATTGTTGGGTGTAGGAAGGAAAATGACAGGTGGAGATTGTTAGGTAGCAGGATTTAGAACTGAATGAACCATTAACAAACATTAGAATCAACCTGTAACAATGTGGGTTCCTAAGTTTCCAAAAAGAAGTGGGTGAATCTGAAATAGACATTAGAGTCTGAAAGAGTTTAACTTTCTCCAATTTTAAGAAGAACTATTATAAGGAAAAGCAATGGTGGTGCAGAGCAAAGACACACCTTAGAGCAGAAGGCATGCGTAAACCAAGTTAGACGGTATAGTTTGATTGTAAGTTATACATAACAGGATGTTAACAGTGAGTGACGGAGAGCCACTGAATTACGTTGTGCAAGGAATTCGTGGCAAAAGCTGGGGAATATGGATCCAGAAGTGGCGATGGAGCAGTATGTCACTCTTCTATCCGATAATGTCCCACGGTGGACTGACGAAAAATCTGTTGTAAGTCATTTCTGTTTGGGAAGTAGATGGCTGTTCTGCTTCTTCATGTGATGAATGCTTGAATACTTGGTGCTTTTGCAGGGAGAGGGTACAAGCCTGTCATCTGAGGCAGTAGAGTCGGGTGATTCAGCTGCAGATATTTCCTCACCTGCATCCCATCACCCTAACTTTCCATATGAACGGTAATGACTGGCTGCTGCAGCCGTTAGAGGGTGCAATTGAGGTCCTATTTGCTTACCACTGTTTCTTCTTGCTGATGCATTGTTCTTTCTTTCGTGCATCTGGTTGATACCGACCCAGTGGCTCCGAGCTGAAGCATGACTCCAAGACGAGTGAGCCGATGACTGGCGACTTCGACGCAAAGAATACGGTATAAGGCTCTCAAGCAGTGGACACCATGTAGCATTCTCGTGGTACCATGTTTAGCATCTGAACATACACATTTTGCAGGTGAAGGAATAACGAATAGCCTTTTTTTTTTTTAACTATTGGCGCCCCAACCACAATTTCCAGTTGCTGCTTGACCCGCCACCGACACTAATTTTTCTATCGGGAAAGGGGGCCTCTTCTTCTTGAAGCTTAAGTGCCTCAATCAGAAAGTAGTACTACCGTTTCTCTGCTGTCTCTATTATGCACACGGTCCATTATTTCGTGATCCATTGTCATCCCATCCCTTGTGTTTGCGTGTCATTCCATAAAAGAAGAAAAAGAAGATAGGAATGTGGGAATGTATTGTCCATATCTGGTGCATGTGTAAATAAAAACCATATATGAAGTAAAACTCGACCTCTCTCCGACTGTCTGTCTCTCTCTCTCTCTCTGTCTGTTTATGGTGGTTGGGGGCAGAGACGATTACTTACTAATGATTCACTAGACATTTCCCCCCTTTCCCCTCATCTTCTGTCTTGCTTTGCCTTCCTTGTTAAGAGTATAAAGGCTTCGTGACGAATTACAAGAGAGACAGATGGGAAAGTTGAAGATTGAAATTACGTGAATGTGGCTACTTAAAAAAGGAAGAAACATGTGGAGTTTATTAGTAGGCACAGGAATGCTGCGAATTCTACACATGTGCAACATCATCGCGATGTGACAACCACTCTAACTAGCAGAATCCCTAATTTGCCCTAAGGTGAGGAAGAAGATAATCTCTTGCCGAAATAGTGGTTTCTAGTATTGTTTTTCATTGTGGCCCGACCATTAGGCACCATCAATAGTCATAATCGGGGGGAAAACGTTGCAATAGGGCTGTTTTATAACATTGTTATCCATAGCAATCATATGCCAAGCAAGGTGCTCTAATTCTAAAGATGGACAATCTTAACACATGTATATATCACTAGCAAAAACAACGGAGATTGGATATAAGGAAAAATCCAACCATAGAGCATTTAGTTCTGTTGTGGGTGGAGTTGGTGCGGATCTTACAGGTACAACATTAAGAGCAAGCAAACGTAGACGAATGTTGTTGTCGTCGCCATTAAAGCCTTTTCTTTTTGAGGAAGGAAGCTTGCTTGCTTAGGTTTGTCAGTTTGTGATATTCAATGAAGCCTGGTGGAGCAGTGATGGGGATTCAGTTATTGCACCATCCTTCAACCAACTCTGGCTCATCCATGAAACCCTTTTCTGTACTATTTGTTAATCCTGCTCACCCAAGAGATTAGGAGGCAGCTTGGTCTAGAGGTTATAACATTTTTGAATTTGGAATATCATATTCGAATCTCTTAATCCGCACCACAAAAAGTTTATATCACCGTTATTAAAAAAAAAAAAAGTGTAAAGGAGGCAGAGGGAAAACTCTTTCTTATTACAACTTAAGGAAGAAGAAGGAAACCACACACTTGACTTAAGCACCTAAAAATAAAGAGAAAAAACCAGGAAGGGAGAAAGCAGAAGAGGGATAACTCATAACTTGAGACCTAAATGGGACACATTCTATCATGATCACAATGAGAAACTCTATTTCCCTTTATTCCCCAAACAAAAAGATAGGCAGTACTGGGCCTACTCTGGAATCTAATTATGGCCTCCGGCTGCCCCCACCCTCCCCTCCATGACGTCCACTCGGCCCACTCTCACTATACCCGTATCCAGACCCCGACCCCATACCAGGCCCAAACCCAAAACCCAGCCCGCCACTTCCGTCATCATACGGCCCAGCTCCTGATCCAGATCCAGTCCCAGTCCCAGACCCAAATCCAAAACCTCCTCCAGAACCAGCACCACGAGGCGCCCCACCTTGTCCAACTCCACTACTGCCACCGCCGCCGCCGTAACCGTCTCCAACGTCGGGCCCACCGTATCCACCACCGCCACCACCAGAGTAGCCGGGGAATCCAGCACCCGCGCCGCCACCACCACCGCCGCCAGCGTAACCGCCGATGAAAACCTGGTAACGGCCTTTGGCATTCTTCCCGCTGCCGGCGTTGTCACCACCATTAATGCTTCGTTTCACCATCATCCTGTCCAGCAGTGGAGGGGCGAGTGACGTGGCATGCCTCCTGGCTGCCGCGTCTGCGAAGCTCGAGCAGCAGCAGCATAATGCCAATACTACCCCTCCAGCCCACCATCGCGCCCTCCCGGCTCGTTCCATCACACTACTACTGAAATAACGAAAAGGAAAGGGAATGTCCAAGGAAAGGGTTTATGTTATTATGTGATCCTTACGCCAGAGATAAGAGTAATGCAAGTAATTAGTCATCAGGTGGTGTGTGGTTCATATATACAAGCAAGATGAAGCAAGCAGCAGGGCAGGGGGTGTAAATGTAATGTGCGTGACGAGGCGGGCGGGGCGTGCCAAAAGGGAGCGTATTCTTTTCATTTTCCGGTGGCCGGAACCGCTTGCATGATAACAGAGGAATCAGGGGGGTGCGTTTTTAGTGTGCGCATTTTGCAGGCAGGCAGGGGGTACTGTGTTTGGGAGTTCAGCTCTGCGCCTAGGGTTTGTAATGAATGAAGACCGCGAAGTTGGAGGTTGGGCCCAGAAAAAGCTTAAACAACCCGGCCCATTATTTGGTGGTTTCTTGTCATGTCTTCCGTGTTTGTATTCAGTCGTTTTGATTAGATGATTAAATTGCCATGTCTATGTAGCTTTTGTAACTTGAATTATGTTCCTCTATTTGAGTAAGCTAATTAATGACAAAAAAAAAAAAATGGTCAAACGATGCATTATGAGCCTAGTAAGTAAGATCAGTGGCGGATCCATGAATTTTAAATAGGGGTGTCCTCTAAATAAATTAAAACTTAAATAATTCTTAAATAAGAAATTATCCGATTAATATTCAACAGAAAAAAATACCGATAAGTACAAGTTACAACAATTGTCCACGACGAGTTTTCATATTCTGGAAAAATTGCAAAATACACTCTGTGTCTACATTGCATAACAAATCCCTTTCAATATACCCTACAAGACAATCATTCACGAACTGATCTCCCATTCGGTTCCGAAGCTTGTTCTTGATGTAAACCAAAGCTGAAAAAGCTCTTTCAACACTTGCTGTTGCAACTGGTAGAATCAATACAACCTTGAGAAGCAAATAGATCCATGGATATGAAAGATTCACCTTTGTTTTTACCATCAATTGAGATAATTCATCAATTCCTTTTAACACACGGAATAACTCATCATTCTTAACGCAATGATAGTAATTCTCAAAGTCCCGTAGAAGAAAAGAGTCAGATAGGTGACCAAACTCTTTAGGATAAAATCGAGTAAGTCTTACCAGTTTCTCCTTGTCAAAAGCAGCAAACTCATTCTCTGGGCTAAGACAGACCATACAAGTCAACAATGTAGTGTTCACCTCATCAAAGCGGTTGTTCAACTCTTGCAACTGCATATCAAGAACCGAGTAAAACAATTCCACCTGATAATGATGTAGGTTTGTGATCTGTGGAGCATTGCGCCTTGACCTTCCTGGGTGAACATACTCATCATCCATATTGAGAACATTAATAGATGCCTTACTGCAAAACAGGACAACATCCTTAAGTAGAGACTCCCATCCTCGATCTCTCATCTCTTGTAATCTAGCCTTTCCCACACGAATAAGTTTCATAGCATTTACAATGTCCTGATCTTTCCTTTGCAATGCTAGTGACAACTCATTCGTAATTGCTAACACTTCAATCATCAACTTCAAAACGAACACAAACCTGAAATCTTGAACGATAATCAACAACCTCCATGCATCACTACCTGTTTTTGATTCTGTAGACGGATCATCTTCAATTCTCTCCAATACATCAATAATAGTAGCGAACAAGTTCTCAAAATTGAGAATTGCCCCATAATAAGAACCCCAACGAGTATCACCTGGCCTTTTGAGACTCATTTCTTGATTCAATCCTTGACCAACCTCTCGTTCATTAGCAGCTATAGCATCTGCAAGCTTCTTAGTCTGGCTATCTCGAACCATGTCAGCTCGTTTGCAAGATCCCCCAACCATACTAGTCACATTATTAACTGTTGTGAAAAAGTCGCCAACTTCTTTGTGATTACTGGCTACTGCAACAAGTGCTAACTAAAGTTGATGAGCAAAGCAGTGAACATAATATGCAAAAGAATTCTCACCCAAAATCAAAGTCTTCAAACCATTAATCTCTCCTTTCATGTTGCTAGCTCCATCATAGCCTTGTCCCCTAATCATAGACATACTCAATCCATGTTTCAAAAGCATTGCTTCAATTTCCTTCTTCAATGTTAAAGCTTTAGTATTTGGCACATGAGAAGTACACAAAAATCTTTCCATAACAACACCATCAGAATTCACATACCTTAGAACAATAGCCATCTGTTCTTTCATTGATATATCACGTGTCTCATCAACCAATATACAGAAAAAATCATTGCCAATATCTGCAATAATTCTCTTAGTAGTTTCACAAGCCATGGCATGAACAAGATCTCTTTGAATCATTGGAGAGGTAAGCTGAAGGTTTTTTGGAGCATTCTTCCCAACCACTCTTTGCACATCTTCTCTTTCCATTTGTTTGTACCTAATTCAGAGACAACAATAAAAACAACTAAGGAATGAATAAAGAGCATATTTTTGGAACAAAACACCCTGCCGCAGCATCCAAACTTCTCCTCCTCTCGGCTCTCACCCAAACAAGAACAAAGGCAAGTAGGCAACGAAGAATGCAACATATGACTACCAAATAAGAACATGACCCCACCCAATTGAAATTCACAGACAACAATTGAAATTATGAAACAAGAAAACTTGGAAACCTACCTGTGTTATGCGAACAGTGGCTGCTGCGGAGTAGAAGGAGGAGGTTGGATTCGAAAGAGGAGGTCGGAGTTGGAGATTCGTCGGCAAACAACTGGTCTGCCGTCGCCGTTGCCTGATGGAGCCTTGGAGGAGCAGCCGAGCAGATGCTCGAGTGGCGCTGGCCGCTGGGAGCTGGTTTCGGGAGTGCGGCTGTGCGAGGGCGGCAGTGGCGGTCTGGTGGAAATCAAAAGGGGATTTCTTTGGTCTCGGCTGATGGAGGGGTGTCCCGATATTGTTAATTAATTTTTAGCTGTCTGGCCCATTTAAGTTTTGATTAATAATTATGTTTCCAAATAATGACAAGAAGTCGGATGTAGCCCAGTGGATAACATTGACATTAAAAACTACCGTGTCCATGTGTATTTTTTTTTCGCCATACAAATTCTACTACCGGGGGATCGATAATTATTTTCCCAAATTTTAGGGGTGTCCCGGGACACCCGTAAACATCCATAAAATCCGCCCCTGAGTAAGATGGATTTCTCGTTTCAAATGGCAGTACCTAGCAAATCACGATGTAGATATATGACAGAATATACGTGATTGACATGGTTGATTAACTCAAGCACAACCATACAATATGTTCTTAGAATTCCCTTTATGAAATTCAACATTTAAACCTCAACCTGAAGCTGCTTAAGATTCCTAATGAGCAGCGGCGGATCCAGGAGCGGCGGTCCAGCCCTTTTCTGGGTCCGGAATTATCGAATTAGTATAGCCCTTATGAATTTTTCAATTTTAAATATTCGGTTCAGTGTTATTTTATAATAAAATTGGGTGTAACAAGAAAAATGGTTCAGATGAACATATTCATATCACTACTCTAAATTTAGCCAAAAAAATTCTAACTCCATTGATTTTCGTCTAAAAAAATAAACAATGAAACCTAAAATACAAAAAGAAATACAAGGTTTGTTCCCTTAAAAAATTAGTAGAGCAGCTGGTGGATATAGGGATGGACATACAATACAATCGATTAGTCGATTGATTTGTCTAGTCTTGACGTTGCTTGTTTCAACTACTATGTAGAGAAGCTTTTCAACAATGAAACGTGTAAAAACTGATTTGCGCATCTGAATGAGCAATGGGTTTCTCGTCAATTGCTTAACTATTTTATTTAAAAGAGAGTATGCTATTGGTATGTGTGTAGACACCATTATTGATGAATTCGCTAATTAAAAAACCATCTTGTACAATTGACATGGTACAAAAAACTATGATTTTTATTATGGTGTCTAATTTTCTAATAAAACACGGCACATTGCTCTCTTATGCTCTAGATCTGCCGCTGCTAATGAGCCTGAGAATAGAAGAGACTTCCTATTGGAACTTCGAACTTAATGAGCAAGTGATGGATTTGAGATGTGGGAAAGAAGCTACAAACAAGAAGGTATACGGAGGACTTGTTGAGGAAGTGGACTTTTTTTTTTTATTACTAGAGGTGAGCTTGACTTATTGCTAATAGTGAAGAAGCCATAATCTATCGGATCTCAGATTTTCCATTATTTTCTATTTGTATTGTGATGAGAGAATCTCATATAATAGAAAGAAAATAAATCATGATAGAAGGGAAGTTTCGTATCCAAAGATAGCCAACCTCTGAAATCGACCCTAAATAACTTAATGAATGGATCATTTTGTTGTTTGAAAATACTACTTGTAAAAGGCCATATCCAAGAAAATGATAATCAGAGTGATGGGAATATAATTAGGGATTTGGGAAAGAAGCTTAGAGAAGAAGAAAGGGAGGAAATGAAGGGTTCAGCTATGACTGAAGGAAAAAAGAAAGGGACGAGAGAGAGGAAAGCCGGTTGAGTTTAAGAGAGAGGGATAAAATAGGTTTCGGGAAAATTTTGATTCTGATTAAACTTTTAAATCCAGTTCACAGTTTTCAAAATATATAATTCTACTAATTCTCTTAATCTACCCATAATTGTACCTTAATAAGAAAATTTCAAATAACTCCCAAAGCCTCCTAAATGGTACAAAAATATCCAAATAATAACCAACATATCATCCTAGTTTACCTTTCCTCCTTCGACCTCAACCTTTCAGCTTCCCACGAGCAATATCAGGTGAGCATTGACACACTGGTGCTCCGTCGTGTAATCTCGTTGCAATTAAAAGGACCATTAACAATCCTAGCCAGGCAACTTCAAGTGATAATAAATGAGCTAATTTAGTAGCTTCTCACATTTTAGAATCTCCAGAACAAGGTATATATGACTTGGCTGTAGCACAAACTAGTCTTAACCAATAAATGAATATTGGACACTCGTGGTACTGACCATATCATATGCACCATTTTTCTTATATACCTCATGCTTTCATGCTTATATGTTTTCTTTTTTTGTCATAGATAGGTGTAGAATGTCATAGGTAGGTGTACAATGCAGTATGCTTACAAATATGTAGTAAATGAAATAATCAAATGTGGCGGTCGGTAGCTAATCAATCCGCTAATAAAAGAGCATTTTTAGCCACTAAATGGGCAGCCCTGTCAGTATCCTAAAAAAAGCAACAAAGGATACAAGCGGGTACACAACACGCGCCAAAGCCAGAGCAGCCATTCCATTGCCACGTGCAAAGGCAACCCACTATTCTCCCATGATGTTGTAATGCAGTCGCACCTACAAAATCAACAAACTAACCCCAGCCACCTAAAAGCAAACAACTAACCCATGCAATAAACTCGTCCTAAGCTCTCCATGAGAACACCAAAGCTGAACTTTTCCTATAGATCTTTGAACCAAATTCGTACTTCAATCGACAACAGCTCCATCAATGCTTGTTGGTCGAGGAAACGCATGACTCTTTCCTTGTCAAATAATCATATTAGAACACACTATCAACGAGATGCTATGCTGAGTTTACCAACTAATGAGAGGGAGTCCTTAGCTAGATATTATAAAGTTTAGAAAGTTAGTTACAGAAAATCACATGAAAGGGAGTAAAGATTCGGGACACAGAAATTAGAGGAAAAAACAAATATGTGTACAAGGTAAGCCTATCTGAAGATCAAACGACCAAAGCCACTAGATTAAGTTCAACTAACATATTTTACAAGCAACCATAACTTTAGACAAGGTCAGTAAGAAAAGAAGTCGAAACCTTAGGGAAGCGAATCATGCTTATATGTTTTTAACACATTTGTTCACATGCCAAATGGTAACAAAGTAGTTGTAACTAACTAACTATAATTGGGACTGTTAAATTCTCAAATAACCTACTTTTGTAGAATGTGCTACTCGTACCAACTTTTACTTTTTATCTTGTTTATGTGAGTCAAATGGCCAAGAATCCATCTTTGTGTTAGTAGTCATACTCGTTTGCATCAAGTGCGGGTCGAGGTAGGTAATACCCGTGCGTGTGTGGGGTGTGGTGGTCGACGCATTATTACATGTTATTTTCAAAATACATGCAAACTTTTACTTTTTACGATAAAGTGAAGGGAAAATACTTTATGAATGACAAATATTGATAATAAAATGGGTAATTGAGTCTAACTAGTTGAAGAAAAGTCAAAATAGGAGAAATATAAATAGATATTGTAAGAAATTGAAGTAGAATGACCAACAATGGGACGAGGAGGGCGGGTTGAAAGCATATACTCATGTCCCCTCCCATGCAACTACGGTTGGTAATACATTCCCCATCGTAAGTCAGGGTGGATAATACCCGACAGGGCGGGTTCAAATTGTCATCCCGAGTGTTATAAACGCGCTGCTACGGATCGGGAAATCGCCGGAATCGATAAAGCAAGAATACGAAAGCGAGAATCGAAAAAACACAGACACACGATTTACGTGGTTCACTAACACGATGTGTGTTAGCTACGTCCACGGGCGAGAGAGAGCCAGTTTCACTATATCGAGGAGATTACAGATTACAGAGGAGTATGAGAAGTATTTATAGTACTTCTCCATGTGGGTCTAAACCTAATCCAATCGGTCAGCGAGACCCCCGATTACCAGTCGTAGCGGCTGATAGTCCGATTCAAGTCACATCAACAAATCTCCACCTTGACTTGAATCCTTTTCTTCTGAAATCTCAGATGTACTCTGCTCCTTCTATCCCTCTCCCGCCATCAATACCCCGCAGGGCAGAGTCACCCACTCAAGACATTCAGCAAGTCCAAGCAGTGTTGGAACTTGCCATGTGGAACCGGCTTCGTGAACATATTAGCAGGATTATCCGCGGTGCCAACCTTCTTCACCTTAATCCTCTTCTCTGTCCTCAAGAAATGATACCTCACATCGATGTGCTTAGTCCTCTCATGGTGGACTTGATCCTTGGCCAAGCATATTGCACTCAAACTGTCGCAATACACCACTGCCTGATCATGATGTAGACCCAGATCACCAACCAGTCCCTTCAACCATATTCCCTCCTTAGCAGCTTCTGTCAATGCCATATACCCTGCCTCAGTAGTAGACAATGTCACCGCCGACTGCAGAGTTGCCTTCCAGCTCACTACAGAACTCCCAAGAGTGAATACATAACCGGTCATCGATCTCCTCGTGTCAACATCTCCAGCATAGTCCGAGTCAGAATACCCAGACACCAAACACTCTGCATCACTTCCGAAGCTAATCCCCACATCACGTGTACCCTTAAGGTACCGGAAGATCCTCTTCACAGCCTGCCAATGCTCCTTCCCAAGTTGTACCATGAACCTGCTGACAACACTAATAGCATGTGCAAGATCAGGT